CTCCGTACTTGATCAAAATACACTTTTGTAGATCTCGAAAACGAAGAGCAAACGTGCAGAGGAATACTCAGCTTCAAAGTCTCGAAATCGACGATGAAAATCAACGATAGATATGGAGATATTATGTCGCGCCGCCTGAGCGATTTTAATTCTTTCATATTCTTGTCTTCAAGTTGATTTTTGCGTATCTCTTTGGCTGCCACATGGCTATATGTTACACATATTTGGCAGCTGGAAACACCTACACCTAAACAGACAACCCCTGGAAACCATGCGAATATAGTCTCAACGTGTTTTCTACATTTACTTTTTAAGTTCATTCACAGTAAAGAGAGCTATGAAAAACCATACCATTAGTTTTTGCAATAATATTTTCTTCCAGCATCTGACATCTCAATTTTCTAAAGCGTATCCACGAGTTAAAAATTGTGTAAGTTTGATTAAATCTGCAGTACTCGATGGCGATTTATATCTCAGCGACACTTTGCGTGAGAACGGAACTATAAATCATAAAACTAACCACACGTTTAAAGAATCCATTTAGCTCGACGTGGAATCATCTCGTAATTTAAAATTTGATCAACGACAAATAAGAAAACAGAGAGAATTTAATAACTTCTGTGTATGTCCCGCTCGCTTGTAACAGCACGAGCCCGTAAGGCGAGTGAAATTTGTAGTCTTTGAAAAATTTATTTGCGGTACACAAGACAGAGGGCACAGTTTTTCCCATTACGGACCGACCTTGGCTGGTGAATAACATTTTTATTTTTCTCTAAAACCTAACAAATGGTTGCTAAAAAGAACCGGAATACCGGAATCGGATTTTCTGTGACTTGTAAAATTGCCCTTAACGTTGGGGGATTTAGAAAACTTAAGTTTGTTGGAGTAGTTAAACATTAAAAGGCAACGAGGAAGATAGAAAGAACAAGGCCGATACAATATGGCGTTTATTGAGGAGGAATTTAAACGTCTGTTCACTTGAAAAGTTTTGGATGAAGTTTTTAAGATTCTCAAACCATAACATAACTCCTTTGTGTATGGTCAATCTACTGTAAATATCCGTCCCCGGTGCTCTGTCACCCCCCGTGAAGGACAGATTGAATTCACCGCTAAGGTTTTCAGTCATTAACAAGAATCTTTTGGCTTTATGTTGACGTGTCATCGACTCTATGGTCATTCTATACTCGATAAGGTTGGTTGGGTGACACCTGGGCATCGGGGAACACGAAACGCCCGGCAAGAGCACCATAAAAACAAGCAGCTGTCAAAGGCAAAAGGAAACAAAAACGAGCTTAAAAATTTTACTTCAATCGTGGAAAACGTCGGCGCATGTACTGTTACCTACAAGTCATATCACTGCAATAAAGAACAAATATCCGTTAAGTGAATTTCTTAAATAGAACATTTCTTTTCAAAAGTTTTAAGTTTTGTCTTCATCCAGCACGGATGAAGATAAAGCAATGATTTTTAAAGATCTGCAGCCCAAATTTCAAAATTACTTTAACAGTAGTAATTTCTCACTTTTTGAACGCTCGACGATTTACTTAAAATACTGCTTTCTATGTTAGCTGTCCAGCAGAGATTGAAAGAGCCCTTATTTTGCGAAAAACTGAAATCTAATTAAAGCTGTACTTCTAGGTTATAAGTGTCAAAATTTCCACGGATACTTTTTTCATCACTGAATCTAGAGATAAATTGTTTAGTCGCTCGAACAGAGTTGGCTTTTAAAGTGAACGTGCGAGGAATTTTAAAAATCGTCATAATGCTCAAGTAGTTTTTTTAAATTCTAGTTCTATCCTTTTGACAATTCAAACTCAAGATGAGAAAGTACTTGCATCGACTACTTCTTGAATTGAATTTGCAGAATACAAGAACAAATAGGCCCGTTGCCCTAACTTACCTCCAAGTAACAAAATTTAGCCCCCACCATTTTAGTTTGTCGTCAATTGCGTTAAAATTAATACCTCGGCAATTCTTGGTTAAACCAAATAGCGTGAGTTCTTATACCTGAAACTGAAAAGAAAAGAGGTGGACAAGAAAAACCTACGAAACGATAACAAAAGAATATTGATGACAGAGCAGACAGAATATATCTCAATGAACGCTTTGGTGTGTGTACCGCCAGGGATTTTTGCGTGTTGTGCCTTTTTTTTAACGATCGAGCCTGTAGGTTTCTTAGTACAATTAGATAATAAAAATTAGTCTTCGATTTTAACGAGGGAGTATCCAGTGGTGATGATGTGCGTTTGAAATTATATGTCAAGGCAAAATGAAACGAAACTAGGCAAGAATGCCAAATTTAACAGGAGATGTCTGCTGCCTATGATCACAGAAAGTTTTCCTTACTGTAAGTGGTCATTGCTCTACGCAAGAAAACAGCGACTATTAAGTGACCACACTGATATTAGTCCTAATTCCTAACGTATTTGTTATTGTAATAAACTCGCCTTTAGAATTCCTTATTGTATAACCTGAATGGTAAGCGATTTTTTCGAACTCTGAAACTAATTTGACCGCAGAAGTATCAAGAAGACAATTTGAGGTTCAATATTTTCTGATAGCAGTGTACAATAGCAGACAGATGTTTGATCAAAACAACTAAAAAAATTTGTTTGCACCTTATAAAACAATAACTATGAAACTTGATCTAGGTTCTGAAAATAATTTAAAAAAAGAGAATTCTAAGGTATCTCATACAATTGGTGAAGGCAATCGAACCATCAACAATCCTACTCAATCGAGTGCAATCCAACACTATCCATAAATTCGACTCAATTCAGAAATAGAACAAAAGGTTCAATTGGAAACGGCAGCTCTGGAGGTATTTGTATGGAAAACGAGACAACGGTAGTAAACCAAAATTTACAAGCAAATGCTAGTAAACCCTTCCATAATACTGTACTCACCACCAACAAACACGGCACAAGAGCTTCTCGGAAGCGAGAAAAAAGTGAGATCAAAACAATATGCACCCAAGAAATCAAAGAGCCTGTTAATTGAAGATTACCAAGAAACTTCAGCGGCCTTAGGCGAACCTTACGACAAAATAAGATCTTGTAAATTTAGAACAGAAAGTTACTTCCTGTCAGAAAACATCTGCTTAATTTACTTTTTATAACCTAAAACAGTGCTGCTTTTGATTCTACTTACTATTGGCTGGTCGTTACACAGTTCTTCAACCCTTGCTACTGGAATGTTGCTCAGATCAGGCTTGGATTTTCAACTTTGACTTTTCGTGTTTTCACAATACTCTTTTGTTTACTTAACTCATTACAACAACTTGAGTACCCTTCAGATATTTCTTTTACCACAGGCATTGGAAAAAAAACCATTAGACTCATTAATTTTCTTTTGGCAGCTTAGTTTGTCGGCGGTGTTTTATGTTGTTTTAGATTACGATAATTCATTTGTGTAATGCTTAGGAAGCATATTGAGTAAAGCATGCTTCAGGGTCGCCCTTTGAAATGAATTTGGCATGTACATGGCACGCAGCTTTATTCGGCGGAGCACAATGTTCGAACTTTCATTCCAGCACTTTGAAAGGCTGAGTTTAGGGGACTCTGTCTCTGTCGGGTACTCATCGGGTCTGACAGCACGAATTTTGTGAAACTGTCGTCATCTACAAGCAATCTATGATCCTTGTGCAAAAAGCAAACCGCAATTTCTCATAGATCAGTTAATCATTCCCTCTGATAAAGACTTATGCTAGAAACGTTACCCTTAGAAACACTTTATGGTGGCCAATTTACATTATCAACTCGATTCAAATAAAACCAAATCATCTGCTGTTACCCCGACCGACGCAGCACCACAGTTTTATCAGAAACGTAGCCCCTTTATTTAGTTATATTATTGCCTCATTTATTTGAAGTTAATGATGCAAGGTATCGTGACAACCCTCGTGCAATAAGTAAATTTTTGAGCTTATCGGGCTGTATTCTGTTTTTATAAGCTTGACCGACAATTAAGTTCTTTGTGAAAGAGCAGCATTTGACAATTTGAATATAAATCAATTACAGTGTGGCTTGCTCTTACAAAGCTTCCTTTTCTTTTATAGTACATCCTATTCTTTTTTAAGTGTACGCATCTGTCGTAGAGAATATGTCACGCGACTTTGTAGGAGCAGCTAAAGTGTTTCGAGAATCGAAATATGCTCTGCAAGACTTTGCTAATATTCCAAGCCCATTGGTCCCCTATGAGACATTCGTTCACCCACAAGCTGCGACAATGAACTTAACGCATGCAGTGATTAGCGTCTAGATTGAAATAACTGCCGTGATCAAAATGACTAGTAACGCCTGGTTTGTGTATGGTGTACCGAGGGTCAACCTATAAGTCACTGTTTGCGAATTCCAAGAGTAGCATGGTAGAAAAGGTTAAGTTGGAAACAGCTTCTCTGGAGGTATTTGTATGGAAAACGAAACAATGATAGTAAACCAAAATTTACAAGCAAATGCTAGTAAACCCCTTCCGTAACACTGTACTCACCACCAAAAAACATGATGCAAGAGCTTCTCGGAAGCGAGAAAAAAGTGAGATCAAAACAATATGCACCCAAGAAATCAAAGAGCCTGTTACTTGGAGATTACCAAGAAACTTCAGCGGCGTTAGGCGAAACTTACGACAAAATAAGATCTTGTAAATTTAGGGTAGAAAGTTACTTCTTGTCTACAAAACAACTATTTAATTTACTTTTTATAACCTAAAACAGTGCTGCTTTTGATTCTATTTACTATTTGGCTGGTCATTACACACTTCTTCAACTCATGCTACCGGAATATCGCTTATACAGGCTTGGATTTTCAACTTTGACTTTTCGTGTTTCCGCAATACTATTTTGTTTCCTTAACACACTACAAAAACTTGAGTACTCTTTAAATATTTCTTTTACCACAGGCATTGGAAAAAAAACCATTAGTCTCGTTAATTTTCTATTGGCAGCTTAACTTGTCGGCAGTGTTTTATGTTGTTTTAGATTACGATAATTCCTTTGTATAATGATCTGGAAGCATATTTAGTAAAGCATGCAAAACTCTTTTGTTTACTTAACTCACTACAAGAACTTGAGTACTCTTTAGATATTTCTTTTACCACAAGCATTGAAAAAAAAACCATTAGTCTCATTAATTTTCTTTTGGCAGCTTAATTTGTCGGCGGTGTTTTATGTTGTATTTGATTCGATGATACATGCTTCAGGGTCGCCGTTTGAAATAAATTTGGCATGCACACGGCAGCTTTATTCTCAGTTCGGAGCAAAATGTTCGAACATTCATTCCAGCACTTTGAAAGGCTGACTTTAGGGGTATTCTGTCTCCGTCGGGTACTCATGAACAATTTAGTTAACTGGTCTTCCTTTATTTCAAGATTGTCAGTTTATATGAATGACGAAACTAGCTCACATGCAAAAGAAATGCCCAAAAAAGGTCTGTTTTAACAATTTTCTCACTTTGAAAATGTACAGGCAATCCAATTATTTTTATCCTTCTGAAACTCAGATTCTAGCAATCTGTATGCTATTAACATTTGATTTTTAACAGCACAGAAAGTAGTAGACCGCTATGTATTAAAGGGAAATTCCTGTTCCTTTATCCGACTAAGCTTAACCTTTAACTCCTAAAAGTGATTACCATGTAACCTCTCCCTGTAAAATCTAAAAATTATCCAGCAAACAGGTCGTGAGAATACTCAAACTTATCAGGTAGAAGTTATCTCGATCTAACACTAAATTCTCGTAACTTATTTATGAGGAAATGTGTAGCAGCTAAAGGGGAGAATTGACAATCAGATCTTGGCAGCAAAAGAGTTAAGAAACTCACTGTCCCCTTGACTTTACTCCAGTTATAGATCAAGATTTCAAAGCTGAGAAACATAAACACAGGCTCCTAGATGTGATTTTTTACTGGATTTATTGGAGCTTAGCTCTCTAAGCTTGCACAGGAGAGAGTCGCGGATCCTTTTAGGAAATTTCCTTGTCGCGATTAATATTTTCTATTTTTCCATATTGCTGCAAAAATTATTAAAGTTCGCTGTTTATTGTGCAGCAACCGATTATCCTCAGCGAACATCTATTCGGTGCGAGAATGGTCAAAGGAGTTTTTTAACAGACTGAGAAGTCTTTAATTTCCCTTCAAGTAAAAAAATAAAGCAGATTAAAAGATCAGCCGAGTGTACTCAAACGGCGGGAAATTAATTGGGAAATTTGGTTGTCATCCAAATGAGCGCAGGTGGTTCCGGTTTCATAGCTTTGCTAATGCAGGTAAAAATAGCAATAGAGAACGAAACACAATGAAATATCACCAGCAAGTAGCCAATGACATTAAAAACTCACTGTGCTCTGAAACACTTTTTTAAATAATTGCCTTTTAACCCATTCACTCAAATGATCTCATTAAAATTCTCCTTACCGTCCACTTTATAATACTTATGATGTTGCTTTGGAGAAATTGGTATTGGATCAACATTTAGTCCCTTAATTGATATTTTTCTTTATTCTCATCACTTGCCTGATTCATATTGTATTATTCTTGTAGGGAGAAATTCTGCTTTGGTCACTCTCGGGATTTAAAGGCTTAATTCTAATCTCCCTTCAGCGATCGCTTGAAAAATAATAGGAAATCTGTAAGAGTGTGTTTTCAACATTAAAACCGGGAGTATGATTACTTCGAATAAGTTTACTACATGCCGCACAGGTACCGACAGGTGTTGTGAAAAGTTGCTTAATTTAGGTTTTTTTCATTAGTACAAATTTCTTTTTCTAGAAACCTTGTTTACCCGACTATGTTGAATTCTTATTTTTCAACCAAATTTTCTTTTCTTTTGAATATTCTGAGATCCCCTAATATCAGTTAATATTCATGTAATTAGAATAATTATATGAAATCTCAGAGGTCCTCAGCTGCTTGAAAACACCGGGGACGCAAATCGTCTGTACTGTAAGTATCCCGGAGAGTCCCCTACATTTTCTTAGACTTTTAGTCTAAATGGGACTTTTTGAACGCTCCAGGCAGCTTTCCTGTAAGGTGTCATAATCCTGTTGCTGCTGACATCGATGTGACAGATAATTGCTTTTGCACTGTTTTCTTTGCCGGCTTATACTTGTCATCAAGTTTCAATAAGACGGCTATCATTTTTCACAAGAATAATGAAGTTTTCGTAAATTGTGATATGTACTTACAGTGCAGACGATTTGCGTCCCCTCATGGTGTTGCTCGCTTTGCAAGTTGTGAGAATATCGTCCCTCGGATTGCAGACCCCGTCATTTCTCCCCCACCACCATTGAATCCATTTCAATAGTGTAGACTTTAAAAAGTGTATTCGCCGTAATTTGATAGAATGATGCTTTGTCAAGCACTTGACTCTGATGATGACTTCCACTCAGGTTGTCGAAACGTCAGTCACCACTACCGACAACAGTCCTTCTCAGGACTACACTCACCCGGACGATCAAACTACACTATTACATGCTTTGATTTGTGGTGGGTCAATCCTTATGAAAGAGCTGGTCCATCTACTTTCATGGAAATGATTAGAATGGTTAGAGCTGGTATGTCTTCCATAAGCTACAGTTTAACTAGGGATAGATATATTTGAACCACGTAGAAATTTATCCGTTGTTTGTTGTCGGACGTGACCTTGAAGAATCATTTTATCGCAGCTCCAATACATCTGTGGTTTAAAATACTTGCTCATAGAGTTTTTTCAGACAGAAAAGTCTTTAATTTCCCAAAGAAAAAAGTGACCTACAAATAGACGTAAATCAAATCTTAAACATCACTCTATGGTTGAAAATTTTAGGGCAGAATATATTTTTAACAAAAGAGATAAAAGGATGATTTAAGAAATATGCTCACGGAGTTTTAAGTCTTCATGAACACGCTGCAGAAAAAGACAGTCGAGTAAACGGCCATTAAAACCTCATACTATATGGTAAATCTTTGAGGAAAGAACCTTTTTTGGGAAAAAAAATGGAAGAAGGATGATTTAAGATTGAGGAGTTAAAAGGATTACTGAAAAGGATAAACGTGTAAATTTCAGTTTTTGCTTGTTTTGAAGCAAATAAGGTATATTAGGAAACTACTTATTTAGATAGAAAAGGAAGCCTCAAGCTACCCCTTTCGGGATAAATTTCGTTAAAATCTGGGATGTGACCCTTTTAGCTGTCATACGAGGTCTTTGCAAATTCGTTCAAAGAATTCCTTATGATAAAGAATATCCGTCATCGTTGATAGATGTGTCTCTTCTCTTTTCCTTTTTGTTGGACGATGTACCGATAATTTGAGGAGAGGTTACAGATTGATTAAATGATAAATACGTCGAAGATTAAAAACAAGACCTTTTCTTTTCTTTCCAGATGGCCTCCTCTGTTTCAACACTGTGGTCTATGAATTAAGAGACTATCAAGAGGAGATAACGGAACTTGAAAAAGCTGGGAAGTGGATCTGCTTGTCCAAAGAGACTTTACCTTTCATTGCAACCAAGGGCTTGCCCGAAGAACGCGTGTGGTTCGTTTACAAAGTTTTGAAAAATTGAGACACATGTGCCATGGCCGTTGAGCCTTTCACACCTAAGATCTTATTGAAATTAATTCTCCCCACTAACTTCGAACAATAGCGTAGAATGGGTGTTAAATTACAAAATAAATCAAACTGGTTGATTGCCATTGCCTTGACGTTGTAATTTTTTTTTAAACTTTTGAGGGTCGTTTCTCGAGAGTTATCTCAGAGGGCGTATGGTGATGGAAATCGGAAATCTTTTTTTAACAAATAACTGGGTGAGTCTTAGCTCAATATTTTAATTGAATAAAGTTCTCCTCAGTTGGGTACTTTAGACAAATTAAGTTTAATTTAAATTATTGTAATTAATGTGATGCCTATTGTGAACTGTGCATTAAGACGAGGATGAGGAATGCATAAGTAATTAAAGTGAAGGTTGGCATAAATTGTTGTTCAAATGTTACGCAGGCTTCGATTGATTCTCTGGCACTTGCCTCTCCTTAGACCTTATTTCTACAGGAATTCAATCTTCATTATCAATTCTCCATTCACCTTTTCCATTCCCCATTCCCCATTCCTCATTTCCCATTCCTATTCTTCGTTCTCCACATTTCCCATCATCGCTTTTACTAATATCCGTTGCTAGTTCTTCCTCTCTATTGTGCAACGTCGCCCACACGGTGAAACGTAAATAAACTAGCAATAAAAAGAAAGGCGTTTGTTTCCAGGAGGGATGAGGACTCAATTTGCAAACGGATATGAAAGTATTGCGTGTTCTTCGTATGACTAACAATGAACAAACATACTTCCTAATTTTCACACTACTCACCCACGTTTTTTCCTTTCTTAACCGGCCAAATGGCTTTGTCCTGTGATCCACTATGCTTGTGTGAAACGGCAGAATTCAGAAAAACCGAAAACAATACCCTGGAAAATTACCGACAACTCTCTCCGGAAAAAGAAGCAAAAAGAAATCTTATTCGTATGCAAAAAACGCAGCCAGTTTTTTCAGTAGAGTTCCCCGCTCATCAGTCGCATGCTTTGCTGATTATTCGGAGAGAACGCTTCTGCTGAGATGCTCTTTTCAAGGTTAACAGATTTTCAAATTGCGAATTCCAGTGGCGTTTGTGGCAACTCCTCACATAAAGAGCTTATGATTCAAGATCTTTTCATCATGAAATCATACAGCCTGTCAATGGTGGTGATTTTTAGCGTTGTTAATATCATGTTGGTTATTTTATCAAGCTGTGGAAATGCACTGGTGTTTTTGACGGTGGTAAGCTTTTCCGAGCTCCTCATTTCTTCCAATATTGGCTTAGCAAGCCTAGCGGCGGCAAACTTTTTCGAGGGTGTACTCATTCACTGTTTGTGCGCCCAGGGTAGTTTTCTTGTTCTTGAGGACGGCTGTCCTCTACCAACTCTTGAACTTAAAATCGTCCAGTTTCTTACGAACATCTTCGTGTACAGCGCAGTGCTTAATCTGGCACTTGTGACGCTTGAACGCTACGTTGGTGTCATTCATTCCCTCCGTTATCATGCGATATTGTCCAGGCGAAGAATGGTAAATTTTATCTTTTCAATTTGGTTTGCGAGTCTTTTTATCAGCGTCCCATGTCTGTTTGACAATGCGGCCATAAACAACATTTCTAATTCTGTGATGACGGTAACTCTTATTGCAGCTCTAGTTGTAACATTTTATTTCAATTTAACAATTCATCATGCCTCCCTAAAGCAGCGCCGTGTAGTTCGTGCACAAGAACAAATGATGCGTCAGTTCGCAGCCATCAATCGGCAGCGATATCGATTTAGAGGTGCAAAAACGATGCTTTTTATTTTCGTTACTCTTGTACTTTGTTTCATGCCAGCTGTGGCAGCAAGAATCATACCACCTCACTCTGCAGAATCAAGGATGCTTCGCGCGTGGTCTGGGACAATTTTTGGATTGCACAGTAGTATAAGTCCATTTGTTTACTTTTTCAGGTGTACAGAGCTTCGTAGATATACTCACAAACTTTTAAGACGTGGTCTACGGATTCTAAAAGTTTGACAACTATAGCTAAATGGGTCGAAACATAGGATAGGAAACGTTTTGCCAGTGAGTTTTAAATGTATAAGGAGAATCGAAATGATATAGCGCCAGTTGCATGAAAGTTTTTCAAAAGCGCTGATACAGCGTTCCCCATTAAAGTTTTATAGGATGAAGGTTAGGATAAAGGCTACTTTTGTCTCTTTTTGCTCAAAATTTGGTATAGATTCAACTATTTAGGTTTGAAATCGGGTAGGGATCTTGGACACTCTATCGAGCCGGAATCTGGAATTGGGCACGTTTTAGTGGACCCGACTTTTTGGGTGTTCTTTTTTTAAGGTCGGAAAGCAGGAAGAGATAAAAAAAATACTAATTTCAGATGCATCATGCCTCTCTCTCTACGCCAAATATTGCGATCTTTTCCTTCAAGATCGCAAAACTCACCCTAGCCTGCGAAACTGGTACTGTTTTGAGGACTCAGTGGAAGTGGAAGTGGCTGAATTGCGAAAGATATGAGCAAAGCTCATTTTTGTGGTCCGTCGCTCAAAAATATTAGGGAAACCGCCAGCTGTAAAGGCGAACTCGCTATACAAAGGAGTGTACATTGCCTTATTCCTCACATCCGATTTTGTCATTTCCACTTCTAAAAATTTCCTGAGGGTATTTGGTAGAATATTTACATAATCTGTCAACACCTAGCTGACTTTGAAAGAGCCATTCATTAAATATTCATAGGTTGTCACACTTGGGTGTCTTTCGTGTGATCTTCGCACTTCGACTACTAAAATACGTTCTGACTATTCTTCTCGGATGAGGCTGATTCCTTCCGCTCTAACTGTATGGTAAGTCCATATTTCATCTTATTATTGTGTGAATTCGCTGAAAATCGGGTTTGGTCGGAAAATTATTGATTCAATCGCTATATAATCGATCCGCGACAAACCACGTGTTAGCCAAGATTTGATTCTTGTGGATGGTTCTCAATTCCAAGATAGACAGTTTCAATATTCCTCCATAAGGGCTATTAGAAAGTCCCCTCCACTTCAAGTCTCTCACTCTCAATTCCTTAACAGCGTTTAAGATGCAATTCGGCCGCAACATCAACTTGAATCCCTTATGGAACTATACGGATCAGTAAGCCAAATCACAACGCTTTAGCCTATGTTCACATTAGCGACTTATTGTGATTTAACTTTGAGACAGTAAACACTACAGTTAACCCAAGCTCGACATTACGCTAAGAAAGTGTTTTAACTTCGCTGTTATTGCTTGGAAGAAGGAAAATGTCAGATGAATCAGATGATCGCAGATTGTCTTGTAAACATGTTGAAAACTCCATCTGTTGTCCGGCGTTTAAATCTCTTTCTTTTCATTTAAGCCGGAGTAACACAAGCGGCGCGATGGAATACAGCGAAGGCAAAAATAGAAAACACAGTAACGAGGAGAGGGAGAGGGGTAATGAGGTCCTTACCTTTTTTTCTTCTTTTGACGCACTTTCATCACGTTAGTCTTGTCTTAGCTTTTCTCATTCCATCATTTCCTTTTCGGACAGAAGAGTCAAACACTTGTGCCAATCTGCCTTACTTTGGATGCTTGTCTGTTATCAGCTGGTACTATCCGATTTTGAATACTTGCATGGAATGGTACTGTACAATTTTGAACAATTTTGTCTATTATTGGACAGTCCATGCAATTTAGGAAACTTTTGACTGTTTTTGGATCATAGGGTTTGATTTTGAGCAATGTCTCTTTGGGGATGGCCTTATGGTCCAATTTTGGACACCTATGATTGTTTTACAATGCATTTAAGATGATAGTGCCTGTTTGTGACCTCATCTGTCAGTCTTTGGATGGTACCATTCGATTTTGACGACCTGTTGTCAGGAAAGGGTTCTTTGAAAAAAACTGTATACTAATCAAATGTGAATTTTGACTGGGGAAGGCTAGGTTGGTCTCTATGGTTTCCTCTTAGCATTTGCTTGTGTTGCAAAAATAGACCCTAGCTAATATGTCCTTGCCTGTGCACTTTTTTCAAAGATTGGAAACAAGAAATGAAGATAAAGCAAGCAACTCCATCACCATTTTATATTGGTGTTGTGGAGATAAAGTACTTCTATTTGAGGGTAAGTAAGTATTATTAACTTAGTTGATAACATAAATTGGCCACAGTAAAGTAAAGTTTAAAGCTGAGGTTTCAAGTGTTAGCCCTTCATCATTCGCTCTGATGAGGGGCTAATGCTCAATACTTCAGCTTTGATACTCTTTACCATGGCCAATTTACCTTGTCAACTCAGTTGATAATACTAAATTACCTTGATATACTCACCAATGAAGCACCACAGTTTCCTTAGAAACTTATCCCTATACTTCTGAATGAGTTGACCCAGCAACAGGTTAGATTGTCAACATCTATTGTGTGGCTGAGTCTAGCATGGTGCAGCACCATCCATATAGTCCAGAGGCTTCTCTTTTGTATAGCCACTGATTTCTTACATATCAGTTATGCTTACTTAACTTCCTTTTTTCTAATAAGCAATAATTAATTTTAAGAGTTGCACATCAATGTGCTGACACATGGATGATCACATGCACAGCTATCGCCGGGAGGCGGTTCTTAGTCCGCCCATCCCATCTCCCGCTGTGCTACAGTAAAACCCAATCTTCTATGTCAGTGTAGGGTTTGCACTTCCTACACGGATAAGTACTCTTGGCACATTCAGTTTCATAATTCAAGTAACTTTTTTTTTTTGGTTATTTCCCTTTATTTATCTGTCTGCAACTATGGCTAGATTTCCATCTACACCAAGTTATTCCTAAAGTTTTAATGGTAGCAAATGTCGTTTACCCATTTCACATTCAGTTTCATAATTCAAGTAACTATTTTTTTTGTTTATTTCCCTTTATTTATTTGTCTGCAACTATGGCTAGATTTCCATCTACACCAAGTTATTCCTAAAGTTTTTATGGTAGCAAATGTCGTTTACCCATTTCAGACCAGGTAACCAATCTATGACATATGAAGCTAGGTGACATTTTGATTGAGTGTCGAAAACAAAAACTAATTAAATCACAACTGCAAAGGAGAAGAATGGATAAAATCTCAAGGGGCTAATAAGAGCTCAGAGTAAACCACAGAAACTTCCTAGAGCATGGGAAAATGCAAGTGACCAGGTTACAACTGGGTTTAGTTTTGCTTCTGTTTAGCTGTGTGATTTGTGGGGCGCCAGTTCCAGACCAATTTAACACTGTCATGGAGCAAAACCAGTTAAAAACTGGAACTTTAACTACATATACTTTACAGAGCTTTAACTACATGTACTTTGTAACTTAAACGCTTGCTCATAATCAAATGATTTGTTTATGGTTGAAATAATTTTTTGTGCTCAACAGGCGTCATGGTAACCTCTTCATCTTTTGAAAGCAATTCCTCTTAATAAGGGAACATCAGGTATTAATGCTGGACTTATGTACTTACATGAAATTGAAACAAACAAACACACTTATCTTAACTTTTGGCTGACTTATCACAGGTCCTTGACAGCATTGACTTTTGTGTCTGATGAGTGAGAGGAATAACTTTTAAGTTAAAGTTGATATAAAAAGCCAGAGTTGCCCTGAGGTGTATAACATTTAGGCAGGAGGTCAGCACACTAAGGTAAGGAAGAAAATTAATCTGTAAAGTGTGCTTAGAATATACTTTGGTTTGTTAAAACAAATTTTTGAAATATCTCCTTCACTGGTTGATGTCAACATATGTTCTTTGTTTTACTCTATGGTACAAAATTAAAAATTAATAATTGATAGTTTAGTTTTCTTGTTTATAATATATCTGCCTTTAATCCTTATGTATTATGCTTTGAAATCAAGAAGCCTTGTACATGTAGCTTTTATGACCCTTGGCTACTTATAGTACTATTTTATATTGAATAATATTATAATAGATTTACAGTAAAATAATAAACTGAAAGTGTAAACTGACAACCTTGGGCAACAAAATCAGAAACATGGAACCAAAGACTTTCATGTATTCTCGACTGGTTTTTTCATTGGTTTTAAAAGCAATTTCCTCCTTGTTTTTTTGAGAGCTTTTTTACTATTTCATAAGCTAAAAATCATTGTTAAAGAATAAATTGCTATGACCTTCAGATGCAATTTTCAAAACATCATTGCTTTTCTTTTATTTTGTTTGTTTCTCCTTATTGCTGCAAGCACAGCTATCGCCGGGAAGCAGTCCTTAGTCTGTTTTCCCATCTCCCGCTGTGCTACATTAGAACCCAGTCTACTGAGTCGACATAGCAGTTACAGTTTCTTTGTCGACAATTACGCAGCCTGGAACAAAGAATAAATCACTACATAAATTTCGAAGGAAGAGATACACTCTGATAAATATGGAAATAAAACCATGATTATCTGTTGATGCATATTGAAGCTATTATATGTTAGTGAATTGAGGAACACTAGAATTACTCACAATTTTTAATCTTCAACTGTCATATGAATCCTTCATGCACTAACAAAAGCACTCCTACTTTAATTTGTAAAATTAAACTTTCAGAGAAATAGCTCTTTGTATTGTAATAATACCTTCATGTACGCAGTGGTTGTACATGTATATTGGATTGTTGCCATCATCCTCTTTTGCGGTCTGAAAACCAGGATGAGGAAAGAAGGGGAAAATTCACATATTCGTTTATCCATATTAGTAGTAACTAACTAAATGTGCTCTGTTTTGGTACTAGGCAGCAGAAAGAACTCCAAGGGCTAAGCTCTCACTTCAAAAGAACTCTATAATGCCAGTTGAAGACAGCCCATAGATGGGGAGTGAAAAACACCCATAAAAGGAGTGCTGGAATGGATATATTTTTAGAAGCTTTTAATCATTGGCCTTCTTCCCTTTTTTGGAACTAATTCAACTTAGAGGAGATAAACTTTACAGTCAAGTCTTAATAGTGTGGTTCAAGAGCAAAGTGAAAGGTAATTAAGAAGAGTCTGACAATGGATTCATTTTGGGGTTGATTATGTAATTCTTATGTAATTCTTAGCCGGCTATGGCATTGAATTCCCTTCAAGCTTGGATTTTTTCTTGCCTCAATATTTCCGCAATAATCTGATTTACTGGTAATAGGGTGTTACTTATTCATTTATTTACCTCTCTCATCTTGTTGTCATTAAGTCAACAACTGCTGGTTTTAGGATCTGAAGACTCAGAGCTTAGGACTTCCCAGAAGTCACATCACAAGAAACCAACTCAAAAACGGAAATTGTCAAGAGGTCTTATATGATTCATATGGATCTTTCTCGTTTTGTGTAATCCAATGAAGCTGGTGACGACTGATGGAATATTCAAATTTGGTGCCAATAGACATTTAGAGCATCCTGGTCAGATGAAAGGAATTTAATTGTGTATGGTAAAGGTAAAAGGTAAAGAGAGTTAATGACTTACACTGTCCTTGATGCAAGATGTAATGAGAAAGTGTCCAACCTTTAAGTCAAGTTGTTCTCTGTGTTTCTGTATCATGTTACATTAAAGGCAAAACCAGTGAATAAAAACGTGGCAAAAGGAGAGTATCATATTAGTTGAGGCAAAGTTGTTGTGAAGGAAAACAGGAAGTTTATTTAAATTACTGTATTGAGCAGAACTTGTTTAGATGATCAGTCAGCTTAATCATGGAGAAGATAAACATGAAAGATACCAACTCTTGTTTAGAGATGAACAATTTTGAAACAATCTGGAAAGAATCTTAAACTCAGTTTAACACTCAACACCCTAACATCAGTATGCATATTCTCCATACTGTTCTCTGTACATTTCTCAAGTGCTGACAAGGAGAATTTGTTTAACAATCAAGAGCTTGTTTAATTGGTGATCATTTTGTTTATTTTTGTGTCCTTAATGTGTGATTCTGGGGGGATACTATTAGGACAAATTGGACGTTAGTCACTTCTAGGGATCAAATGGTTAAACTTTGCCTACTTAAGTGGGGAATCTTCTCGAAATAATTTTTCTGCTTAATAGAGTTTTAGAAATTGAAAGGAGAATCAACATGTTGGTCATCCAAGTACATTTTACAGAATAAGAAGTATTGGCATAACTGCTCAGGAGGTTATAGAGATTTTCATGTCTTTGATTGTTCAGGAACTTCACTATACAGGAGGTGATTATGGCAGGGGGTTAAATTTCAGATTGATCTGGCAGCAGTTGGCTTATTGTTAGGCAAATCAAACCTCTTAAACACTTCCTTGGAAACAAATGTAGACATGATCATGATAATATTCATTGAGTTGTTGCTTCTGTCATATGCATGTTACTATTGACCAAGTAATGTACAGGCAAGACATTGTGTATATGTTCTTAGATAAGTGACGAGTTGGAAGCAAAATATTATTTTGATATATGATTTGCAATTTGCTTTGACAATTACCTGAACAACTATGACAAAAGAATTATTTTACTCAGGCTCAGTGAATGTTGGTAGATAATCCCCATGCCTTCATTTCAAGGATTATTCAGTAATATTCACTTCACCTTCAACAAAATTTTTTTAAAAAGGCTTTATGGAAATTATGCACACTTTAACTTTTGCTTGGTGTGATGTTATTGTCTACTTCAGACTGTATTTTGCCTTTGATATCCTGGTTTTGTTTGAAATACTTTAAGTATATTTGGTCACACTTTTGCACAATAATAGTTACAAATTACAATTGCATTGCACTGAATTTTAATATATCTTCAAGCATATTGTAAGCAATGCCCTTAGATGAAGTGATATAATGTAATGACAAAATCTTGAAATTTTTATTTTACTTTTAACCAGATGAGGAGTACCATAGATACCTAAGTTACCATAGTGGTATTCAGTATCTTTGTGTTATAGTTATGTTTACATATAACAATAAACTGCCTTATTTAAACCATGGCTTGGCCACTATCTATGCTTGACTTGATTTGACAATAGAATTATTAAGTTGATGGCAAAAAAAAATTATATACATGTAGAAGTAATTGCTAAGACCTGAGATTTTTGTACATTGCTAATTCATGCACGATTACCGCTAGTTCCCATACATTATAAAAATATTTGAGAATATAGGAAAAAAATAACCATTTTAAGAAGGTTGTGCTTGTCAAACAATTCTCCTTGTCAGTCAGTACCACAGGAAATGTGAAAAGAAAATTGTCGAGAATCTGAATATTAGGGTTAGGGTGTGAAGGGTTAACTCTTTACGCCCTAACATCAGTATGGATATTCTCCAAACTGTTCTCCATACATTTCCAAAGAGGCTGACAAGGAGAATTTGCTTAACAATCAAGAGCTGCTTTAGTTGGTGATCATCCCTTCTATTCTCATGACTTTCATGTTTGATTCAGGGGTGTTATATTAGGGAGAGATTAGATGCTAATCACTCTTACGGGTTAAGACCAACATCTACTACGAGCAAGCAACATCACAACTCGTAAATTTTACCCCTCCCCCCCAGCATGCCAGGGAAATGTTACTATTAGAAGACTAGATGGTGGAGGCTGAAAAAGAACAAATGTCTTCTTTAAAGTGGCTCAAAGTGGTTTTGCTATTTCAGAAAATTATTTGATGGATCAATGCCACAACACTTTTTCGGGTGTTACCCGATAAAGATGGCGTCAGAAAAACGTCCAATTATTTCTTAACGTATTTCCGTGTTTTATAACAAATAGCGTTACCATCGCAACGCTACAGCTCTTGGAAACACGTTTGATTATCGCTGTATGTGTCTGTTCATTAAAAAAAACTAGCTCGGGGACTTCCATTTTCCCCAGGTACCATGCAAGACACTTCACTCTCCCAATGCTTCTCTCCACCCAGGCGTATAAATGAGTACCAGTGAATTTTCAAGGACGCCTGCTGAAATGCTGAGGGGTAAACTTGCGATGGATTATCATCCTTTCTAGGGGGGAGTAGTAATACTCCTAGTCCTTTCATGCTTCTTGGAAACCGGGATAAGCTCCGGCTGGGTGGCCAACTCAGTACAAAATTTATCCTTTTACCCTATTAAAATACAATCAGCATATCAATGATCATCTTTCTGAAAAGTTTTGATAAAGAAAAATTCCGTATTTAATGCTCAGCCCAGGGTAACCTTACATAAACAAAACTAAGATGACTCTGAGCTTTAAGTGTAGGGTTGTTCAAAACTTTGCAGAAAGATACATCTTGAGATATTAATTGCAATCCAGTAATAAGAGGCGGAGGTCACCCACCTTGTTTTTGTGTTACAGGAACATAACTCAAAGACTGAGGGTGTTTTTGAGGGACATAAGTGGCAACCTCAGTTGCCAAAAATAAAGATCACATTGTTTTGTTTTGTTAAACCAAGTTTTATTTCATAGTGTTTATGTTTTTTATTTAGTTCTTTTTTTTCTTTTATGTTTGCTATTTTTCTTTTGTTTTGTCTTGTTCTTTTGTTTTGTCTTGTTCTTTTTATAACCATCTTCGAAGAATCCCCCCCACAAACAGGAAAGGCCCGGGAGACGAAGGAAGAGAAGGAAGGGTGCCGCCCTTGTCGGCCCGCCATTCAAAGTGGGGAAAATAATTTGAATAACAAATAATTTTGAAATTAATATTCACATTTGCGACCAGTTTTGCACGTGGAAAGAGCTCACGAACTACAAGAAACATCACGGTCTTTTGCAGCTATTTTGGGCCAAGAAATATTTCAGTTTAACCGTATTATCTTGAATATCGTCAGTTCAGTCAAGGCCGACATGTGTTTCCTCGAGTTTATTGACGGGATAGTGTGGTTTTAATTCAATCTCGAGGATCAATTGATGTCCATTCGTAAACAATGTACTCGAGGTAGGTTACCTTCTTATGAACTCCATTATTGAAAGAATTACAGTTTCTTTCATTTATTTGTTGCTCTTAAAAATGAAATGACGGAGTTAGATGTTAAGAAAAGAACATGTTTTGCACCATAGATAATAAGACACATCTTAAACAGCAGCCGCCATGATATATTGAATCGCGTGACATTTAGAGCCAGAAATTCTTAATTCATTGTCGATGTGTTGATCGCTTATTTGCTTATGTATTTAATTCCATTATTTTACTTTTTCATAATGTAAATTGTTTCATATGTCAGGATTTACACATAATCCCATAATTCTTTATCTACGTGTATATGGCTCTTTGATAAAAGAACCATATGGCATGGTTCTTTATATAGCATATATCTATATATATCCATATCTATCTATATATATAAGGTGGTGCGATTTAATCGTGCTTGTCATTTCGCTAACACCTAGCCTCCCGCCATAGAGAGTAAAACCCTTTTTCTGGAGACCAGAAACCCTCTTTCCATCCTTAGTGTCAAGAGTAAAAATTACTCAAACTCTCGTTTTGTTGACTATTTCTTTATTCTCTCTTCTACACTAGTTATCACAACGGGGACTAGCTCTGATCTCTAGCTCTGATCTTAGATGTCTTTGTTTTTCTTTCTAGGACAGCGGTAAGGACGAAAATCGAGAAGTGCAGAGGAATGTGTCAAACAGAATAAGAAGCGTTTAGATTCGAGAAGCTCAAGGCAGGAAAGTTGGAGGATAACTTTCAACAAGGTTAGCCAATTAATTTTTATTGTCTTTTCATTAGTGCTATTTCACAGAGTGAGCCCGGTAATCCCCTGTTTATGTCATCGAGTATATATTTACTAAATCATTTGAATTTAGTAAATAACACTTTTTGTTGTTCTCATTCGAATTAACGATGTTAAAATGTAAGTTGAGTTTGCATCAGACGTTTAAACCTGGACTAAACGAACGTCTGCAATTAAAATTAACCAGATTTAAAACAGAAGGAAATTAGATCTGAAGGTGAAATCTGATTTCCTCCATGTCTGATTTCGTAGACCTCTCTTTCATTTTTAAATTGGTTTTTAGTAACTTACAGCAATGTTGTTTCGATGAATCAGAAAACAATTTTGTCTCTTCGACATCAAA